GCTCTAAGGTCTCCCCGGAGCCTTCTCTTCTCCAGGCTGAACAAGCCCAACTCTCTCAGCCTGTCCCCACAGCAGAGCTGCTCCAGCCCTCTGAGCATCTTCATGGCCTCCTCTGGACTCACTCCAACCGGTCTATATCCTTCTTATGTTGTGGACTCCACAGCTGGACGCAGTACTCCACTCAGTTAAAAAACCCCCATTTAATACAAACAATGTTTTTTACATCCAGCCCAGCAGCAACTTTGGGCTCCCTGCCTACCACCAGCAAATGCACCTGAAACAAAAAACTGGATAACATTTCTCTACAATTAAATACACACAGTTACTGCTCTGTGCACACACATCTGTGGGAAACATTTATCCACCTGTTAGTGAAGGGGATCTGTAGGTATTCCCATTAGAAAAATACATGTTACTTCATTGTTATCCTGATCTGAAGTACACTTGTTTGCCAGACCACACAGGAAAGTATCTATTAAGCAACAGCAAACAGCATCATCCTACCTGGAAAGGAAGCTCTCGAAGACAGGTTGGAATCTCTTCTAATTTCCTTAAACGCACTTTGGATGTATTACCATAATCCACAAAAAAAAACCTGGAAAAAGGAATGAAAAGCATCTGCAGAGATTCCACAGCATTAAAAGCGTAACTTCCAGTGGTAAGGGAAGTGGCAACCTACATTTATAAATATCACTACAACACATTCTTATCAAGTGAAACGTAAGCAAATTCCGAGTGTGGAAAACATGCAAATGTCAAACATAATGGGTCAAATTTTATCATGTCTATTATTTGATCCCTTGGCTTATATGTGCACTAGTAATGCAAGTAATCTGCTAAATCTAGGAAAAGGCTGTAATTCTCTCCCTGCAACTAAATCTGCATAACCTTACTTCCTTAATAGTGAATGATTCATAGAATCACAGAATGGTTTGGGTTGGAAGGGACCTTAAAGACCATCCAGTTCCAACCCCCCTGCCATGGGCAGGGACACCTTCCACTAGACCAGGTTGCTCAAAGCCTCATCCAGCCTGGCCTTGAACACTTCCAGGGATGCGGCATCCACAGCTCTTCTGGGCAACCTGTGCCAGCGCCTCACCACCCTCTCCAGGAAGAATTTCTTCCTGATATCTAATCTAAACCTCCCCGCTTTCAATTTAAACCCATTACCCCTTGTCCTGTCACTACAGGCCCTTGTAAATCGTCCCCCCCCAGCTTCCTTGTAGCCCCTTCAGGTACTGGAAGGCTGCAATAAGGTCTCTCCGGAGCCTTCTCTTCTCCAGGCTGAACAAACCCAACTCTCTCAGCCTGTCCCCATAGCAGAGGGGCTCCAGCCTTCGGAGCATCTTCGTGGCCTCCTCTGGATACTACCTAATAAATGCATTTAGATATACAAACGCTAACGTGGATAGGGTGACCGTTTATAATTGAAGAAGAGAAAGTGATGAGATTAGCACTGTTATTCACTAGTTTTCCATTACTTTAAACAGATGACAATGTTCAGTATTCACTCTCTGGTGGTGATACCCAGCTATGTTAAGAAATCAAGAAATTCAAAGGAGGAACAGTCTGTACAAAAGCCAACCTTACAAAAATAGAAAAAAATCTGTCCTTAACTACTGAAAAGTACTGGCCTGAAAAATGAATACCCATCTTGAGCTGTGCCACTAATTTCCATTACTGGTCTTGGCACGAAAAGCCAAAACGTTCTGATAAATTTGCTGATGATACAGAACTCTGCAACTTCAACACTGACCCAAAAAAGGTATGAAGCAAAAGATCACATCCTTTTGAATTTTTAACAATTTCTACTACAAACGCTCCATTATTATTTATAAATTCTAATTAGTTGGAAATTACCATGGAGACAGAGCTGTATATGAGATGCCAAGAGGTGTCCCATGCAAGAAAAGCCGTGAAAAGGTACACGTGGCCTGTGCCACATGAAATGTTTTTGAATGCAGAGGAGAAGCACTGTGTTGGCAGAGGAATACTAGCATCACTGCATAAGCAAAGGTGGAACTGCACGTACTGGAGCATGCACAGTTTTCCTCAGGAAACTGTGATCAAAACCAAATAAAGGAGTGAGATAGAGAGCAGGTGAAGAGAGTCAGTGTAGTGTGTGAGATGGGAAAGAGCACACCTTACTTCAGTTAGCAACACAAAGTCCGTGAAGAAAATGACAGTCAAACTGGAGGGGAGGGGAAAGAGAAGGAAAAGAAAACCCATGTAAACCAGGGGATGAAACACTGGCAGAGGAAGAAGCTTAGACCAACTGGCCATGAATGACTGAAACTGCCAATACAGTGGGGGCAAGAAACTCCCTCTTCGTAAATATATTGAGATCTACCTGAAGAGGACGTGATAGGGTTGCTGCCAGCAATGCAGCACTGGCCTCTGAGCTTGGCATTCCTTACCACATTTTCAGTGGAGGTTTTGGTCTCTATTTTGCTTCACCCTTGTTCAGCCCAGAAGACACTTTACTGTATCAAACACAGTCTCTCGATTTAACACTAAATTATTCCTGTGTTCTGGAAAAAACCTCATCTATTCTGGCAACATTCTATTAAGGTTTAATTTTAGTTCTAGTTGTACAGATTTCTTTACTGACATGTTTATAATTATCATGAACAGAGTGCTTCGTAAAAAACAAACCATAGCTCCGAGATTGTTAACCCAATTACGTTCTACCAAACATAATATGACATAACGTATTACTGTACCTGAGCAAAATCTCCACAAACATACAGGACACGAGCTCTATAGTACCGTTGGTGTTCCAGATGAGTGAATGGTGCCAGACAAACCAAATCCTGATGTACAGACACTGGCAAATCCATCAGGTTTTGGCAGTTAATTTCATCAGTTAGAGCCTGGAGTACAGTCCTAGTTTCTTCATCTGTCCTGTAACCCCAGAAGTGTCCAGCTTCTATTATCTGAAAATGTAAAAATCAGACATCATCAGATTTCATATTATTTTATTCTTCTTCATCAAATACAACACACATCTGAGCAAAATACATGAAAGCACTCCCAACACACACAGAGAAATGTTCTCAAACTGCAATAATGCAATGAAGCATTTCTCTCACAATTAGATGTTATTTTAAAAATGTTTACTTGCTGTGCAACTGCAATGCGCTTTTCATCTAAACAGACCCCAATTTAAACATTACTAAAATACAGGAAATTAAGAGACTGCTTCAATTTTTCTACACCAAATTAACCTACAGAAAATACAGGGTATACAGCTGATTAGACAGATACATACAGCTACAGTGCACTTTTGTTATTAGTGAAAGGACACTGGTTAGCTACACCTATCGGCATATCAGCATTGTTACTGTTAGGATTAGCCATCCTTCAGGAAACTGAAAAGAATGCACCATCATTTAAATCAAATTGAATAAAATCACTCATCTTTTCAGGTGGCATTACTGAATGCAAATGCCATTTCCGTACTTAGCTCAAACATTTGTGATAAAAAAAAGAATCTTTATTTACAATACATACGATCACAGAAGGTTCTGTTTAGTACTTCTGTATTAAACATAAGTAGCATAGATAGCTATGTGATTGGAAAGTGCCCGATAAAAATTCATGAACATTTTTGAGCCAAGAGACTTGGCTGAATAAAATGAAGAAAACATTCTTTTCTGCACTTGCAGATCCCATCACTACGATCAAGAGCTGCTTTAATACTTCAGCCTATCATTTCCACTAGCTTAGTGGTTTGGATATTTTTATTATTTTTATTTCAGCAGCATATACATTGCTGCTATCAGTCAATTTGTTGACAAGATGATAGTTAACACAAGATTAAAAAATTACCAACTTCAAAATTCAGAAATATTTATATACCATTTTCCCCTAACACACTAGCTTCTATGCACGCAATATTTTTCCTAATGAGCATGGAGTACTAATAATTCATCTCATTTCTCACATCTTCAGTTTCTGAAGAAAACTGCTAGTTAATAATAACCAGGTAAATGACCTAAATACCTACTGATTCAGATTTCCACAGTGTGCGCAAATATTCTACCTCTCCCAATGATCCTCTTCACATTTATGCCTACTTCCATCTAAGATTTACTGCCAGCAAATCCCACAAATTTTGGCAAGTGACATGAAACTACTGTTTAACAATGAACTACTAAAAATTAGACCAAGAATATTCTCTACACCTCTTATGGATACCACTGTGCTAAAAACATTATTAGCACCCGTTCTTTTCATGTAAGCTCATCAGACACTAATCTCTGCAAAGCTCTCTAGGTAGCAGTATTAGACATAACCTACTGCAGATGCAGAACATTCCTACCTCTGTTACCTCGATGAACAAAAAGCGATCTGAGATCATTTCTGACTGGTGTATTGCACCAAATGTAAGTTCCACAGGCTCCACTGTCTGCTTCTGACAGTCCACATTTACTCTAAAAAGTTTATGGAATAAAGATGCTAAATACTTCACTCACAAGCAAAACCACCAGAGTTCAATATTTTTTGCTTTCATTTGTTTTGCCAAGCGTCCCTAGGGCACGTTCATGTACTTAATGACTTTTATTTAGATATATATTACTTCAATTAGAATGTAAAATGACCATGCAGAACCAAAATACTACAGAGAAACTGTTTGAATTTCATTATGACCAAATACAGAAAGATAGACACCAAGAAGCAACTGTGACACCAAAGAATTAAGGTTAAATAGTGAGGCTTTTTGCCATGGCATGCCTTCTAAGCTTTTTTTTTTTTTTTTTAAATTGAGTACACTACAGCTCAAAGATGCACTCAGCATATCTTTGTGGCTTTTTTTTTCCCAATACATATATGTAAAAAAGATTATATAAAAAAATTGACAAAAGTTTAGAACTCTAAAATTAGTCTTCCAGCCTAGGAGACTTCTTCCTTGAGTTCCTCAAGAATTAATTTTCACAAAGATTAAAGTCCTGTTTTGGGCACAGTGAAACTGCTAAAATGTTTTATTATAAACTAAGTACAATCAACTAGAAGTCAATTAATCACCTACACTTTAACCTTTTCAGTTCATTCCTGACTTCCTGTCTAGTGGAGGGTGTCCCTGCTCACAGCAGGGGGCTTGGAACTAGAGGATTTTTAAGGCCCCTTCCAACCCCAACCGTACTGTGATTCTATGACATTTCCAAGGAATTTCTCACTGAATCCTACAAACCTAATTTCAGCTTCACACTGCAAAGGAACCCATTTGCTGTATGCCCTACAGGTACCTTAAAGATTCCACACTTGCATGTCTCTCATCTTGCAACTGCCTTTCAATAGCATTTGGATAATAAACATTCAGCTCTAGAGGAATTTTCAGCTGTGACATCTTGATTGACAGGTACACTGCAGGAAGAATCTTAAAGCTCTCCATAGGGTTACGGGAGAACTCCACAAAAGCCCTGTTCAGAAAAATCCCACCAAATAAACTTACAATAAATACTTGATGAGGAAACAAAACACAACAAAAACCCCACAAAAGCCCCCTTTCCTTCCCAGTCTGTCTTAGCAGGCCAGCAAACAGTGAACAGCAGGCTCCTCGCAGGCTTGGCCTACTGCAGCCTACAGTGGGTAGAAGCAGGGACCGGTGGCCTGGGAGGAGTACAGGGAAGTTGCCCAAGAGATTAGAGATCAGGTCAGGAAAGCCAAAGCCCTGACAGAATTGAACCTGGCCAGGGACATCAAGGCCAACAAGAAGGGCTGCAGAAACCGCCTCAAGACAATATGATTTAGAGACACCAGAGAGTGGAAGGAATAATTGCCTTCCGGGTCTGTGGCATGCACCATTAGAAGCATAGTGCAGCTAGAACAGTCTCTCAAACTGAGAGCGTAAGGAACTTGCAGCACTTGTGCCCAGGAATATCATCTATGTTGATGAAGACACAACAGCTACTTCTTCATTCTTCACGATAACAAGCAGTTGATTCCTGAGCAGATCAAGAATTACATACATTAAAAATAAATAGCTGCTTAGATCTAATAGTTTAATCTTAATGAGTGTTTCTGTGGCAAGACTAATCCTGTCTTTATTCCACAAGATGGAGTCAAGTCCGTTAAATAGGACTTTGTTTTTTTCCTTTAATATCCTGAAACAATGACAAAAATTTCAAAAACATACACAAACATATCTGCGCACACCTACTGCCATGCCAGCATCTCCTTCAGTATAGAACTAGCCTCTCTTCTTGAGTAAGCAGTAAAGCATGAAAAAATTCTTTGTCAGTAAGATCTTATGAGTTTCTCTACTACCTTTTAATCTAATTATTTTTTCTTGTGTCAGTATCAGTCTGTTCTTTTGAGGCTCACTGGTTTGTAAGGTTTTTTCTTTAAGGATAGGTCATGGTTACTTTACAGTGTTATACCTAGTTCAGATACACCAAACATTTTCCTAGTTTAGACTGTGCACCATTTTGCAAAACAAACACAGCTATTTCAAACTTGCTATTATTCAATCTGATTAAAAACTATTTCTAAAAGATGATGATAAAAAAGCAGAGTGCAACACCCAAGTACCCTTAAAGCAACAAGCATCTATACCATGCACTATGAAGTAGGAGATGATAAAAAAGTAACATTCAAGTTGCAACAACACATTTCATAAATATTCACTAAAAAGTACCCTTGACAGTCCTGTTCCATTTTTCAAATCTTTTATTAGTTTCATAAAAGTTGTTTGCCTGCGCAAGACTAGCAATCAAAAGCATAGAGGCAGCCCTCAGTAAGAATTCTTCTAAAATTGCCCACCCACACAATGTTTATTATACTGGAAGAAAGGGAGATGAGAGAGAAGACAACTTACCAAGTGCAGATCAGAGTAGGTAATTACTTCTGTCCTTGCCCAAGACAGAGCAAAACTTGAAAATACCACCCAAACACTACATATTTTTATTACTTGATTGTTTAATGTCATTTACCTTCTTAACATACCATTACAGTGGTTTTTGGATCTTTGCCATCGAGAGCTCTTACAGCAGTTTTTTCATCACATTTTCCAAAAGTAAAGTAGTTTGGATAGAAAGCACCAGCTATTACAACCTGAAATTAAGAAAATATTTTGTAAAACACAGCAGATTATATTCAGTTTTTTGACAAGAGATACATTAGCAACAGAAAGAGATACCGACAGATCTTCATATGAAGATTTTTTTTCCTGTCTCTTCCCAGGAATTACTGTCTTTCCAGTCTAAACACACTCATGCAAATCCTTAAAAACATACTGTCATGAAAAGAGTTCAACTTTTGGAACAATTTTTTAACATTTTAATATTTTTGTATGCAGACTTGCTCTACGAAAACTACGATTGTTAGCCCTGATATCAAGAAGAGCCTCAATTTTAAACAAATTCACATAAAACAGCTACATGAAACTTGTTCAGCATTCATGTTGCACCTTACAGTATTTAACAATTCAGCTCTGAAAAGTGCACTGCTTATACAGTTAAACCAATTGCCACCGAAATGATAAATAGGTCCGCGAAAATAAAATCACTCCTAATCAGTCCAAATAAGACAAGAAATTTAATCAAAGTTACAAGAGCTGAAAGACATCTAATTCCTCACACCCCCCCACCCCCCAAATAACTAACCAAGCTGGAGGTGGTCCACATAGAGCACCCAAATCAAGTGAAAACACTTTTTTGAAAAAAAAAATGTTAGTTCTTAGACTTCCAGCACAAACCATCCTTCTTTGGAGTATTTTTATGACTTTAATGAAGATTAGTTTAAATATGCAGTTTAATTCATCTCAGTATGACTTGATTTTATTTTGATGAACTGTCAGAAGTGAAGGGACAGCCAGAGTACCAACTTCACGTGAATTCTGAACCATTAAAAGTAACATCAGTTGTCCTTCTGAGTAGTCAAAAAATGCCTTTTTTTTTCCAGCTGCACTCTTAAAATCTACAGAGAATTCTGAAACACAGGTGTAACACTAGTTCATCAGTACTAGTATATAAAAATCTAGTTATAAATTTTGTAAATAATGGCTCTCACCTGAAGAGTCAACAGAGCATTACCTGCCAAATGAAGCGCTGTTTGTATACAAATTCCTGATCCACAGCAGGTGGTTGAGAATTAACATACATGTTAAATGCACTGACTCGTTTGCTCAAGTCGTGAAACAACTCTGCCACCTGAAATTTGAACTCTAAGTTACTTACTAAACAGATCAAACCCACCCAAAAGTAAAAAGTAAAGTCTAGTAGTAAAAGTCCAAGTGTGCATACCTCTCCTTTTTAGGTGACACTAGTATGCATTTCACTTAATACATTGCTTAGCATCTCCACTTCAGAATATAATTTCAGAACAGTGGCTCAAGCACTTTTCCAACCTGGACTTCTGCACCTAACTGCAGCAGTGACCACGCATGTTTCACCTACAGCTGAACGTGCTCTATTAAGCCTTCAATCCTATGCATTTCCAAGAAGCTTCCATAAGCAGCCACTGGTCCTGCGACCGCAGTGAATGCCTTCATTGCACCAGTGGATTTTGGAGCAAATGTAGAAAAGTACAGCCCATTGAACTGCCTCACATTGACGTTTTCCTTGCTGCTGATGGCAGTTTTAGGATAGCAAAGCTCCCGTTATTTGTCTCTCAGAACAACTACTATAATCAGAAACCATTCTGTGTGGCTGCCTCACTTCCACACAAGAATTATACCGTTATTGTCTGAAAGTGTGGTAAAGAAAAAACCCCAAAGTTGTCTTAGTAAGGGTTAGTTTAGGTGTCCAGTCTAAACTCCTGAACTCTTGTATGTCATGCACCACCTATTCCTGAATTATCTGAAATTGGGCCAAGACAACAGCAACTACCCAGGAGGCTACCACATAACACCGATCCATCAGCTCTCCAGTTTTACACTATTTGCTTTATTCCCTTTTTTTTTTCCTCACCCTTGAAATCAAACACACAAGCTAAAAAACTATTGGCATTCCTTATCCAGATGGTTGCTTACTGTGAAAAGCATTGTCTTCTCCCTTGTGTTTTTTTGAACACAGGCCCTACATTGCTCACACCAAAGGTGTGACCCGCTGGAATAATGGGCAAGGCCATGCTCTGCCAATCACAGTTATTCAGAAGTTTTGCTGATTTCCCCTCTCAACATAACACATTAAGCTTGAAGCCCTTTGTTGATGTAGAGCTTTCATTAACTGCTACAGTAATCTTAGCAACAAAGCCCTACAAATTTTCAGTCCTCATTAAATAACTGTATTTGCTTAAAATTATCCTAACTGTAAGACAAAAGTTATGTCAACAAACAGCAGTCACAACACAACCAGTGTATCTGAGGGGGCCTATAGAATTAGCTGGAGATATCTTAAAAAAATGTTAAAAGTATGTTAAACAGTTCATAATGTAACACCAAAAACTATGAAGATTTGGTAGGTCTGACTACGAAGTTTAAGCAAATTCCTTTTGACTAAAAACTAGCAGTCTGTGACTGTTGCCAATCCCTACTTCTGAGCTAAGATAATTCTAGATGTGCCACCATCTATCCATAGTGTCAACTGTGGCAGTTAAGCTACTTAAGAGTACGTCCCTCCCAGGCATGGATAATTTTCCCTATTAACATATAAATGATTATGTGAGTCCAGATATTCTCTCACGAATTTAAATAGTACCATCTCCCCCACCCCCCTGTCAAAAAGTCCCCAAAACCTAAAACTTCAGTTTATTTAAAGGAAATATACAACTATATATTGATAGATACATAATAATACAGTGGGCTTATCCAAGATCTTAACATTTGCAGAAAATAGGGAAAGTTAACTCCTTCTGCTTATAAAAATTATCTATTTCATTGTACCTCTCTGACTTTCCTCATGTGAATAGAATTCAATTGACACCACTTAAGTTTGTCCTGGAAGAGAAAGTGAAAAATGCAAACAGAAAAATTGTTAGAAACTTGTTTCTTCTCCTGCAAGTAATCTTCTCTTATTCTTCTGTGCAGACACAAACGGTAGTTATAAACAGTGATGGAAAAATTTGATCTGACTGCACAGCGTTCTTTGCATCCATATTAATCATTATGACATGTCTGAAAACATAAGACAATTACGTATTTGACTAATAAACTACACTTTGGTTACCACCAGTGCAGATGTGGGCCATCTAAAGTTCTCATATAAACCCACAAGTCCAACTCCTCCCTGTTGCTACTACAGGATCTGCTTTAAGACAGACACTCAGAAAAAACACAACTTCCTTATCTGGATGCATAACTATCAGACAGATTCTGGCCATCCTGGCTACTCATTATCTCAGTGTATGTTATGCACTGATGTTCATAAACCAGATTATGGTCTGAAAGAAGCAGAGAAAAAAGATTTTATCTTATGCATTCAAAAGAGACAGTGGAGGTAGTTACTATGTACATACTAATGTTTTGTGTGACTGAGGCACATCAAGATCTTCCATTTTCCAGGGTGGAGTTTTTTTAGGGGGGGATTTGGGTTTTTTTCTTTTAAAACAGACACGTGTATTAAAAAGATTTATTTCAACTACAGCTTGATTTCCCTTTTCAGCTTGGATTTCAAACCCTCTGGCCACTGTTGATTCATTTGCTGAAGGGACTACGTAAGGGATCGCCTTGAAATACTCGGCACGAGATTTGAAAGACTCATGTTCTCTCAAAGCCTATGCTTCTAATGACCTATGAAAAATTTTAACAATTATAAAGGATTGCTAGCCAAAATTCCTTACTAAGAACATAAAATACTCCAGCACTGTAGTCAGCAACCTTGAATAGAAAAGAAGAAAGAAAGTTTAACTAACCTTGGGATGTTTCAGCTCCACTTTCAGTCTGCAAGCCTGCCATTTCTAAAAAAGAAGTGGTGTAGCATTCAGGCACAAACTGTAGTGCTTTAGTAATAATTACTACAAATATTAATGTGATATTTAAAACCATGAAGTTTTCTCTATACCTATGCTGGAGATTGGGTTTTAAATTGGTGCTAAAAAACTGAGATGCCCCCAGGCTAACACAGACGAGAAATACTTAATCACAAAAGAGTATAAGGAAATCTGAATCACAGTAATTTAGATTGGAATAAACTTCTCCAGATCAATTGTTCCAACATCCCACAAAGCAAGACCAACTTAGATCAATTTTTCTAGGATCTTGTCTATAAAACCCTGAGTAACTTTGACTGACATGATGGTTGAACCTGCTCTGAGCAGGAGACTGGACTACAGACCTCCTGAGGTCCTTTCCAGCCTTAAATATTTAATGATTCTAGTCTAATGTGAAGCTTGCGTGGTTGGTTTCTAAGCAGATACAAATATTTCTAATTCTTATGAACAGTCTTACTCTATTTTGTTGAGGGTGGGCGAGAACTTTGGGTCCTCCTTTGCTCCTAAGTGACCACATGAAGTGGTATGGCTGCAAAATGGAATTCTAAGAATGAGGGCTGAAAGGGGGTTCTTTAGTGTAATGTTGTACCATGACATGCTAAAGAACAAGAGTTGCTCTAGGAAAACAACTATCCTGGCCTTCAAGTCAGCTTGGTGGCTGTGGTATGCAGTAACACATCTACACAGTGAGAAGAAGTTTAAACACTATTGGATGAACTGCAATTACATATACTGCCTCAAACTTGCCATCAACTCCTCCAACTAAATTGGAACATAAGATTTAGGTCACTGAATTTCTGGACACTGCTTATTGATTCTGGATCTTGGCATATTCCAAAAGCAGACTGAGCATGTTATACCCCAAGGCTTTAAAGGAGTAAGTCCTAATTTGTGTTGGGAGAGGTACAATAGTCTTCTGATAATAAAGCAACATACAACAAGCTACCCAGCTAGTTCCGAGAGGAGATGGACTGAGTATTAAAGCACATACAGACATTCATAAATAATTAGAACAAGCTGGATGCTTTTATTTGATACTGTAATAAAGCAGGCTACCTTCAGGACCTTTTTCTCCTTGCTTTGAGACAAAAGCAAGTGAACTGACAGATTCAGATACAGTTCTGATGCTTATGCCTCTCAGAAAACAGAGCTGGAACAGAGATGAACATATCCAGGATATTAATGAAAATAGTTTATTAGGCAGCAAATCTATGACAGATGCCTGCAGAACCCATTTCTTCTAGTCTGACAGCAAGCCACCTCACAGTCCAATTTACTGTGGACTGTGGAAAGTAAAACTTTCCAGTTTACTGCAGACCATGACTATTAGCATAGCTGCACAGCCAGGCTCCATTGCCCTACCTTGATTGAGGCTCTCTGATATACTGATTTTAAATAATTCTTTTGACACCCACCAGTTCCATAGCAAAGCCTTATAAGGTGTCAGAAAAAATAAACTCCACTGTTTGACATTATTTTTTCTTTCCAAAACTCTGTTTTTTAAAATCATATAACTTAAACCAGGCTGATTAGCCTTTACTTTTGACCTTTTCTAATTCACTGAAACCTTTTCATAAACAAGGGCTTAAATAAGAGATTCTAATGATTCACAGAACTTCAGCCTACCCTGGAAGAAATCTAATCTAGAAAAAATAAACTCCACTGTTTGACATTATTTTTTCTTTCCAAAACTCTGTTTTTTAAAATCATATAACTTAAACCAGGCTGATTAGCCTTTACTTTTGACCTTTTCTAATTCACTGAAACCTTTTCATAAACAAGGGCTTAAATAAGAGATTCTAATGATTCACAGAACTTCAGCCTACCCTGGAAGAAATCTAATCTGAACCAGGGAGTTTCAAAACAAGCTTTCCCTGTTCTCTGTTCTCTTCTGATACGCAGCCATTCAAAACACAGCTTTCACATCACTCAAACAGAGATACTGCATAAGAAGCTCTGTCTGAATGTTTGTGTTTATTCTCCAAGATAACATACTGGTTTATAAAAATATCACCTGCAGATTAATAGGACATGAAGGAAATATAGTATACAGCAGAATAAGGGGAACTTGGAAACGATGATGCTTGAGCCTCAGGATCAGCAGGTATATATGGTATATGTGCCTGTGTGTGCTTCATAAACTTCTGACACTAGAGTGCAGGAAAACAAGTCTGCTTTCACCAAAGTAAAGAAAAAGTCCAAAATACATAAAACTGAATAAATTAGATCTGCAGCTGAAGATTTTGGAATCCCCAGAAGATTACATAACATGTCAGACAATCGTAACATAAACCATTGGATTTGGAATAGTAAATCCTATGCTGTTCCAGCTCCACCGACAACCGTGGGGCTTGACCGCTGTCCATGGTGCTGGGCTGCCCAGCAGCCAAGCGCACAGAGCAACTGCAGTCGGACAGAAGAGTTACTACAAAGTCAGAGCCGTGAAGTCCAGCTCCTAAAAAGTCTCAGAGACAATTTGGAGAGAAGCCTTGAAGCAGCCCTGATGTAGGCCAAGAATTAAGACACAGGAAAATCAACCAAGCAGATCTTCAAAAGAAGCATGAGAGGCACAGTACCAGTAGCTGTTACAGTTCAGAAGACTTTGATCTTGTAACAAGATTTAACTGCAGCTGCAGCAGGATCCTCGGCAGCACACAGAGAACAGATATTCTACGTTAGAAACTTGTTCAGCACTAAAGTCATTCCAGAAACTTCGTTCTGCTTACCAGTTAGCCACCACTTGTTCTATTGGAAAAAATGAGACATCAATTTTACAGTAGGTGAAATGACACAGGGAAACCTCCCTGCATTGGAAAGAATCTGACTCCCCATATAAGGCAGATCCTGTATTGAAAGGATCACAGAGGATCAAGAGAACCTGAGCCTCTGGTTCCCATCTTGTCCAAAATCTGTTCCTACTGCCAGCAAGCAGAAGACTGAGATAAGCAGCATGGTCTCACTCTCCAGTCCTTATGCTGTTTTCCATCTGCTTAGTATAACAAATACCTCGAAAGCCAATTAACTCATCAGAACTAGTAGTGCTTTGCAGTAGGACACAGCCTTCAAAAAGTATCACTAAGTAGCTAGGAGTAATGTGAAGGTTTTAAGAATTTTTAACAACTTCAAAGAACAAATGCTGCACTGATCCTACAAAAGTGAGAAGGCCTGTCTTGGTCTATCAGGTTTCACTGGATGATAAGCCAGAAAAAGAGACTTACCTTAAATGCATTTACAATTGCAATACAGTCACTCTTACTACTCCTAGTAAAAAACAGTTTGTTCCTGGAAATAAAACAGAAAGAATTATCAACCAATTATTTATTTATTAAAAAAAAACAACCAAACAAACAAAAAAACCCAACCAAAACCTGAATGTATTATACAGCTCAGAATGATACATTATTACCACCTTCCAGGACTTCAGTAAACAAGGTCAGTTCATTTATTATAATTATTTGTTCTTACTCACATCTCCTCGCTGAAGGTAAACTGTGCAAGCAGGATAGCAAAGATATATTTTTTACAATTATAAAAAAAAAAAATTAACAGACACTGCCACATGTTCGTATCAGAAAGGAAAAGCTGAAGAATGAGGACTTTTACTCAGGAAAGGATGAGTTTGCTCTCTAATACTAATTAGTTCATGTAGAAACAGATTTCATGATCCCAGCTGCCGTGGAAAAGCTTCTTTTTACACTCCTTGGTACTTTGACAGTACATCAGATTCAAGACATGAAAAAATTATATTTAGTGGTCAATTTAGTCCTCTGCCCTCAGATGTAGCCAGGAAGTTGTAAAACATCTAGGGGAATACCTGTATACATCGACACGCTGTTTGAAAGGTACTGCAAAAAAATTCCACAGAGAGAGTGCTGCAGCTACAACAAAAAAGAAGTCAAAATGAAAACTTGCAAATCACTTGTTTTTACAGAAATGTTCTCACATGTTCTTCTTTCAGTTACCTAAAATAAGGGATTCTTCTAGGCACCCAAAGACATGCCCAAGGACAATCAATTTTCCAAGACACAGATCCACTGGCAACTCTACCAATACCCTTCCTAGGAATGTCAGCTCACCATCATGTGGGTTTTCTTCTGTTTCCATACAAGCTGTAAGTGCTTCTAGCTAGAAAATTAAAAATTTATTCACTTGTAAAAGTTGACGAAGTAAATATAAGACCAGTTTATAAGCAAATAAGACAAGAAGCAAGCAATTATCTCAAAGCAACATCAATTAGTATCAAAACTGTAATTAAGCTGACATTCTCAAATAAATTTTAAGTCTAGTATTTTAAATCCAAAGCTTCTACTACCTATACTGCATATATAAGCAAGCTACACTATACAAGTATAACTTCTTATATACTTTGCAAAATTAAAAGTTTAATGCAATGAATGTTCTACCCCATATGAAATTTGTAATGGAAAAGCAAAATCACACCAGATTCCTTGTACAGCTCAGAAGGGAAACTTCAGACTGACCCCTGCACATCGTAAAGGTGTAAGAGTGTGATTTTGCTAATTTATCAATAAACAATTTCATTTACAGAAGTTCTCTGACTAGTTTTTTCTATTTTTTCTCACCACAGATGCTAGTTCACAACAGTATCATTAATCCCTCATGAAATTATAATCCTGTTTTAATGGAGTAACTACAGAAATTACGCTGAAGAGGATGGTAACCAGACATGAGTCAAATGGAGAAAAGATTCTCCAGACAGTTCCTATTTCAAGTTCCAGTCAAGGCTCCTACTGCATTAAACAGCAAGAAAAACAATTCTACAGTATGTTTCTATTATCTCGATTTTAACAACATTAAAAGAATGCCTACCTCTTTCAGCTGAAGTATAGTATGTTCAATGTCACATACGCTGGGTGGAGAAAGAGCTGTTGCCAGCAAGGCTTTTGGTCCCCCCATATCAAGCTTTTTTATTTTTAAGACTGTAGTTCCCAATGGACAATGCTAAAGGGAAAACAATGTTGTTGTTATTTTCCCCAAGTGTAACAAAGTGGTTTATATGAAAAATTAGTTAAATTTTAGAATTTAGTAAAACCTGAATTAATTTTGTGTAACTATTTTTCTTTGGAAAAGATTGCTTATTCCTAATCCACATCCTTTTTACTGCTGTAATGGAATGGTTTTTGTCAATTATTTATCAGCCTGAATTCTATTCAGTGTTATAGTTATTAGTAACTATTCAAATTGTGCACTGTCTTCAGGAAAAGTAAAGCAAAACTTGTCAGTGACCTCACACATCAAAAAAAATCTTGATGTTCCCTAAAAGTCTTACCAGTATGTCAGGTATTGAATTCTCTGGAATAAAGTCTGTTCAGAAGTCCTTGTGTACAAGTCTGTAACAATACCCTTTGGAAACACGTCCAGCACGACCTTCCAATAAAAGAACACCTCTCAGTTAGCAAACTGCCCAATTTTCAAGCTGTTCAAAACCCATCCATCCACAACACCTTCTGGGCAGTTGAGCAGTACAGGGCAGCTGATGCTGCAGGCTGACCACTATTTCACTCTCTTGCAGCAGACAGGTGCAGTGGAGACATTCTCTCTATCCTTTCCTACATAAGGACCAGATGAAATAATTTTGCTTTCATAGCAGCAATAATGAACAAAAGTGTTACTTAAGCATTTCTTTCAAATACCTCTTTCACGTAACTGCCCTCAAATCAGTATCCGTCCTTCTCAGTTGAAAAGACATGACAAATCTTGCACTAAAACACACTTCCTCAAAAACAGGAAAAAGCAAGTCCTACTGAATCTAAATTTAATCCAGATAAATATGTCAATCCAAGTTTTAGCACAACCCCAAACTGAAGATTTGACATGCAGTTTAAATAGGCTTTGCATCTGTATTTCTCTACACAGTAAGTATACTCAGATTTCCTATGTGACTCAATAGCTAGAAAAGAACTTCTATATAAACAACATCTAAGAAACCATGATGAAAAGGAAAACATCTTTATTATCTAATATTTATAGATGATTCAGGAAGTTTATCTTCACAAACCCAAACACCATTCACTTCAGCAAACTAAAGGGCACTCCACTCAGTGGGATACTCCACTGGAGAATTAGGCCATATTTTTAAGTCACAGACATAAGAAGTGCAGGTCTGCTACACAAAATGCTGGCTGTATATTGGATGAAAGGCTGCAAGAATTGGGCTTATTCAGCCTGGAGGAGGCTGCGAGGAGACCTCATCGCAGCTTTCCAGTATCTGAAGGGGGCCTACAAGGGTACTGGGAGAGGACTTTTTACAAGGGCCTGTAGTGATAGGACAAGGGGTAACAGGTACAAATTGAAAGTGGGGAGGTTTAGGTTAGATATCAGGAAGAAATTCTTCACGGAGAGGGTGGTGAGGCACTGGAACAGGTTGCCCAGAGATATTGTGGATGCCCCATCCCTGGATGTCTTCAAGGCCAGGCTGGATGTGCCTTTGAGCAACCTGGTCTAGTGCAAGCTGTCCCTGCCCATGGCAGGGGGGGTGGAACTAGATGATCTTTAAGGTCCCTTCCAACCCAAACCATTCTATGATTCTATGATTGTCATAACCTACACCAACCCAGAACCAAATGGAAATAAAGCTGTAATTGTACAGAACTCGTAATATTTAAAAATCAGGGTGTTTTTATACCTCAATTAGCACTCTTTTTGACTGAAACTAAGAGATTTTGATCTTTAGGTGTACTGTCTTACTAGAAGAGCTGATAGTAAATCTTAACCAACCTTGTGCTACAATAACTGCTCTACACTACAGACATTGCAGTGGTTATTTCAACTGATTTAAGAGTGACAAATACACATGAAAGTTTCTTTTACAGCTGAAACTCACCAGTAGTTAATAAATAGAAGTACCTATCTCACCTGTTTAAAAATGACCCGTGATAAAGAACATTATTATTACATAATGAAATAACTTTTAAAGTTTTATGGTCCATGAATTCAATATTTTTCAATAAAATACAAAACATTTATGTGGAAAAACACTTGAACAAAATAAAACATTTAGGCATAGTTTTTAATCACTCCTTAGTAATCTGAAATGATAAGGAATTAGCTTTTGTATAAACTATTCATGACAAAAAAAATCTGTACTTTTTATTGTTAATAAAATGAAAAGCAATGTAGAATTCTCCAGAAGGTTAGCTTCTACAACTCCTTTCCATTTTACCCACTGTCATCTTACCTTTTCTTTGATTACAGTTTGTTTTAGATGCCCAGGAAAGTCTCAAACTTTGGTAATTAGTTTCCTCATCACAAACCAAAGTTCTAATTAAGCAGAAATCTATCACTGCAATTAAAAAAAAAAAATCTAGTATTAATACAAAACAATTTATCCTCATGGCAGTTCAAAAAACACTGGCTGGCTTTGTATTATCAGGAAATCAAAGTTTCAATTACTTGAAATCCAGTAAGGAGAACACTAGATTTAACAACCAGACGCAGGATACTCTGAATACTAACAGAACTGCAAACAGATTTTAACATAAATACAACAAACAGTGAGTGCAGATAAGCATTAAAAGCAATCGTTTCTGCATTTAAACATTTTGTATCAGAATTTGCTTAATCTAATGCAACTATTTAAAAATGTAGTCAGAATATGAATAAAAATCTTAAGGTAGTTGTGACATGAGGTCTGATTCTGCTTGTTACTGCATTTAAAATTATTTCCCCCCCAGCTCCAGGAAAGATTGACACCCCCCCTCAGTAGCTCTCCTATTTGTTCATATATTCAGATTTAAAACCATTCCCTGTTGTGAAAGAAAGAATTCAACAACTGTCAAAATTAAAATCCAACAGCAACGCTTTGTAAAAATGACACCTGATAGAGATTTAGGCTAGAACATGTAAGGAAAACGTTACAAACACTGTATACACAACTACAAGATTTACACAACTTACCATACTTAACACCGGGAACTGTTAGAGAGCTCTCAGCTATGTCTGTAGACAGAATAACCTGAGTATTGAAGTAAAAAGTGAGCAACAAATGCATAAAGAAAAAATTACTCACATGAATGTTTCTGCATGAAAAATCCAACTTACTATGAAGAACTATAAATGTAATGGCAACATAGTATTTCTGCATATAAAAAAAAGCAATACAACACAGGAAAACTGTATTTTCCTACAATCAGAAAAGCGTAATAAAGTGGCATAGTATATGACAAAATAAAGGAAGAAGGAAAATACGTCATTACGTCTTTGTCGTAACAGAACATCACACTATTAGCAATGATAAAGAAAACTAAGACACTAGTCAAAATCTGGGGTACAAAGCAGGCAAGGCCCCCATAGCAGGGCACTACTTTGCTATGCAGTGCCAGCAGCACCATATCACTGTCACGCAGGTGCAACTGACAGGCACAAACCATCGTGAAGGATAAACACAGTGCCACACAGTGATTCAAGGATAACTTCCTGTTACTGCGCTTCTCTTGAGGTCTAAACACCAGTGAAAGCAACAACTTGGTAAGAAAGGCAAGCAATTTACATCTTGGAAAAAAACCCCACAACTGCTTTGCCCTCACATAATGGTTTGCGTTGGCACAACTAATGTTAATTTAGATACATTATTATTTGCTAGTATTACTCTAGCAAAAGGTTTCACACACTTCATGACAAAGTAGCGATTCAACAATATTTACTTTTCTGTAGCCAGGAACTGTAGGCAAAAATATATTGGTTTGCTCCTCTAATGTCACACTTGAGTGAAGTGGGCACACTTGCCACCTGAAGAAAATATTGGTGAAATACTTACTGATGCAAGAATATAAAAATTAATATGATTTAGCACAGAGTAATTATGTACTCAGCAGGATGGGGTAGAGAACCAGAAGGGTAAAAGTGAGAAAACTTCAGGGTTGAGATAAAGACAGTTTAATAGCTAAAGCAGAAGCTGCACACATAAGCAAAGCACAAGGAATTCACCCCTCACTTCCCATCGGCAGGTGTTCAGCCATCTCCAGGAAAGAAAGGCTACATCACATGTTAACGGTTATTTGGGAAGACAAACGTCATCACTCCAAATGTGTCCACCCCTTCCTCCTTCTTCCCACAGATTTATATGCCGAACATGATGTCATATGGTCTGGAATATTCCTTTGGTCAGCTGTCCCAGCCGTGTCCCCTCAGAGCTTCTTGTGCACCCCCAGCCAACTCACTGGTGGGGGTGGGGTGAGAGGCAGAAAAGCCCTTGACTCTGTATAAGCACTGCTCAGCAGTAACGAAAACGCCCCTGTACTATAAACACTGTTTTCAGCACAAATCCAAACACAGCCCCATACCAGCTACTATGAAGACAATCAACTCTATCCTAGCCAAGACCAGCACAAACTGAAACAAATGTGGTCTTAACTTACTTTGTGTTGAACATCTTTGAGAGACGTGAGTGCATGTAGCTTATTTCATTCAAACCTGGGGGAAAAGGAAGAGTTTGTTTTCTTTTTAGTAAAATTAACAATTCTAAAAATAATTCTCATGTCTAATTAAATTCTTAATTGACTTCCATTATCATCTCCTTTTCACCACATAATAAAACAGCCGAAGAGTTAAAGAGTAAAGGTAATAATGAGTCACTGAAACACTGCGAGTCATTACTTTTTCAAGAGTCATTTTGCATTATTTTACACCTACTAAAGTGGCAATATGAGATATAAAAGGCCATCTGTTAGTGTCCCATTATTAGCCCTCGTTCCAATTCCTCACAGCTGACAACACTCACCACATGCTGAATGTCTGGTTTAGGATAAACATGGGTATTTCAGCCAAAACAAGCTGTTTCCAAGAGCAGGGCCAAGAAGGAAAAAAAATAATAAAAAGCTATTTCTGCCTTAACCATTTTAACTTTGGCAGTTGCAGTGCTTGTTCTCTGGGACATGAATTTCACGTCTGCCAGAGGAAATCTTATGATTAAGCATTTTTTGCTGTCTTCCTGAATACCTCCTTCTTTCTGAGAAGCCTAGTTTACTTCTTATTGAGACTTCAATTCCAAAAGCTGTATTTTCAAAAGTCTGTCCAACACTGGCCAGAGTGAAATCACTGTAACTGCAGTACAGGATTGCTGCAATTTTCAGTGAGGCTAAACGCAGTTTAAGCACCTGGATGTGAAGGTTCCTTCACGCTTTAGATGACTTATCAGCTTCAGAAGTGAGAAGGAAGAAAGACAAAGGCACGTGGAAGAAGAAAGATATTTTCACTTAAGACAAGAGAGAAGAGTAACTTAAAACAAGAGGGAAGAAAGACATGTGATAGGATATAGTTAACTTTCCTCACAGTAGCTAGTATGAGGCTATGTTTTGGTTGTGCTAAGAATATTCATAACATACTAATGAGAATAGATGGAAATCATGATCAAGTTAAGGTAAGCAAGGAAAAAAGGCCAGAAAGCAAGAAACTGAGGCAAGAAAAGGAGAAACAGATTCAAGAAGACACCAACATGGTGATAATACAAGGTTGTCTGGGAAAAGAAATTGCAGGAGAACATGGATATTAGCCAACTACTGGAGTCAGTAAGACTGAACCTGGAAAATGAGGGGAAGTGAGTATAGGTAAGGGAGATAAAAGAAGTCAGGGTTGGGCAAGAACATGCAATTTGGAGGAAGAAAGAAATAGTTGGTGGGGGGAGCAATCAGAGAGAAGTGAAAATGTTTCATAGATGTGCTTTGTATGAGGCTACTACAGGGGAAAGTGACGTTGTTAGATCCTAAGACAGACAGACAGGAAGCCTAATTTACGTCACAGCTCAAATGAAATAAGAGTACTTGAGAATGCAAATAACTGGTCAAATAACAAAATAATGACTAGTACATTGATGAAGCAATTAAAACTCCAAGGCAAAACACCTTCAGCACTGTACAAAAAAACTACCACTTTTTAAGATTACTATAATACAAGACAAGTAAAAGTGTTTGTTCATGAATTAGAGCACGTAATTAAAGATATAGAGAAGACACAAGAAAACCATGACATGGTCTTTTTGGACATATCCTGTTTTCTTTGACCTTCCTTTTCTGGCCCATAATATCTGAAGAAGCCCTTCTTAATATTATTTGCATCCCTTGCCAAGTTCAGCTCCAGAAGTGCCTCTGCCTTCCTAATTCCATCCCTAGGTAATCAGGTAGCATCCCTATACTCTTTCTACAGGATACCTGTCCCTGCTTCCAACTGCCTGTGCATTTCCTTCTTGCCCTTTAGTTTGACCAGCAGGTCTCAAGTCATCCATGCCAGTCTCTTGCCTTCCTCTCCCCATTTCTTACACCTGGGGATCAACAGCTCTTGTCCTTTACGGAAAGCATTCTTAAAGATCTGCCAGCTCTGCTCTGCTTCCTTGTCCCTGAGGGCAGTCCCCCAGGGAGCCCTATTGACTAACTCCTGGAAGAGCAGACTTTTATCTGTAAAGAATCACTCAGTAACATTAAAAAAAACCTAAGCACTGAACAAACAGACAATTAATTACAACAGGAAAATATGGCATCCTACTTGAGACAGCTGCAGCTGCTCTGTGGAAGCAGAATCTGCAGATCCACCAAGTTCCACAAAGACAGTGGGGAAAAAATCCCTTAACAGTACTCCTCAGCACAGAACTACTCTTTCTGGCTCCTGATGCCTACTCAGCTTGAAATGTCATTGGGAGTGTTATTTTAAACGTACAAAATGCTATGTAATTGTAAGTACTCAAAAAATCTAGGCAACTCAAATCAGTGTCCTAAATGTGGAGGTTATTTTTACCCAAATCTCTGTCTCAGCTGCCCTCTTGTAAGCAGAGGGCTCTCTTCCCCTTTCAAGAGGTATTTGCTAATCCTGTGTTCAAGATCAGTTTTGAATATGCAGTTATAAAACAGGCCAAGGTCAGACACTGAACAACAATAAAAAACAAACCTGAGCAGCAGCTCATTCAGAAAGCACTATCCACACAGGTTTTCATAAATCTAACAAATGTATTTAACCAAAAATTTTCACTTTATCAGTTGATGTTACGACCCATCAGGGATAGCAGCACAGTGAAAGAGAAAAAAAGATACGGGAATTTAAAGTACTGGAGTCATTTCAGCCTGAAGTGAAGACTCAGAGGGCCTGAGGAAGTCTGCAAGCACACCAGACAAACACCTATAGGAAAGGCCAGAGGCAGAGATGGTCTCCCTACTTTATTCATGGCAATCTGGAATGAGTCCTACATTGACATGAAGAAGTTATTCCTTCTACCTACTGATTTTATAGAGAAGCTAACTCGAAGAAAGGCAGCTCTGAAAGCCACTTAAAGCTGCTCTCAAGTGCAGTATATTTTTGTGCTGGTGTACTGTGTTTCCAGCCCTAGAGCTAGCATGTCTACCGCTAAGCTCAACACAGCAGGGAAATGACAAAAGATTTTACAGAGAATTAGACAGTCCTGGAAGGGATAGACCTCATTATGCCCAAGGAAACAGCTACTCCTGATTCTGAGGTGACTCTTCACTTGGAATGTGTCCAAGTCTTTTCAAAGTTTTGAACTAGCAAGAATCCATGAGGTAAAAGAATATGTGGAAGCACTAGGTAATAGTTTGCATAGCTCAGGAAACTAGGGCTGCAGCCTAGTTACACAAAAATTATTGCATTACTTTGTTTTGGTAGACACTCTTACTTGAACCCCCTTAGCTAGATTTTACAGGCAGTATAAGAAAACGTAGGTTTACCGTTTAAAGTCGACTAAAACTATATACAATCAGTTCTCTGATCATTGTACACTATGACATGCTGTGTGCTTGTGAGTGTTCCTACTAAACAAACCAATATACATGGAAAGAAAATTTTAAAAGTGAATTTTAACTTTTGCTATGAGAACTTAAATAAAATCCAGGGAAGAGACTATACTATATGCAGATAAGAAAACATATCTAGAATCCTAGGAATTACATACAATATTTAATAACTAACCTAAAAAAATTGAGCAACTGAGTTTCTGTAGATTAACTGTAGAATTAATTTTACTACTGTAATTTCATTTCTAAAACATACAAAGTCTTAATTTTTTACTCACTCCTCTTCCAATTATTGCAATGTTTAAACAGGTATGCAAGATAAATACCCAAAGACCAACAAACCCCAGTTAGAAAGGTGTTAAGTAAATCCTTGGAAGAAGCATCAGAACAAAGCTTGTTAGATGACAAATAAGGAGAAAGAAAATTATTAAGACTTATACCCACCTGGCAAAAATACTAGCACACTTCCACGATCTGATGCAACACTGAAGTTTTTTCTCTCCCTAACAAGAATATGCAGTTTCATTAGTTTTACAACCTCAGTCTACTTTATTACCCCAAGGTATTTTATTTCAAAAGAACAAACATAACTACATATTTTTTGTAACATGTATTATTTAAACTTCCTGAAGGAACAAAACACTATTCACAACTACGCTTTCTGAAAAGCAAAATATATATAAAAATTGGAACTTTATCATTAGGTTTAGCTTTGTCTTCAAAATTATGCCAAAAAAGAAACATTCTTATCTACCAATGAAATTAATCATAATTAGGTTATGAAAGATCTTAAACTGAAAAGGTAGTATACTACTGCAGAGTCTATGCAAACTTACTGAACAATTTCTCAAGTAAATATTCTTTTATTCTAAAAATATCACTAGGCACCTTTAATAAAAGCTTAGCATGTAGAAAAAGTAACCATTATCAAGAACTACAGGTCATGACATTAACTGAAGATAACTCCCTCTAAGTTTATCTGCTATAAGGCAAGTAGCTAAAAATCACCTTAATGTAATATAGAACTCATTTTTTTACTAATCATTCATGATACAAAATTACTCTCAAACTATGTAATTAATGGAAAGTATAACTTTCAATGGAAGGTTCATAACAATGGATGTTTGTAATAGCCCTTTTGGTGTTTGAAAGCTGAAATGCTAATGTCTTCATGTTTGCTTATAAAAGGTAGCTTGTCAGTAAAAGGTTGTCCAATTTGGCTATTCTAAACTACAGTAAAAAAGCTTAATTGAAAATATTTTTAAAAAGCACAGAAGTCACTATATATTGTAAAAAAGTTAGTGCCAAATTTACTGTATTTATGTACCTCCATCAACACTTGCACTTCAGTGGTTCATTTGATAACTGCTCAGGTGAGCTTAAGTGATGCTTTCTTAACATTTCAAAGTTTACATAATACTAAGTTTGAAAAAAAATAAGCTTACAAAACAAGATTTTTTCTCCAGCATATATTCATGAATTACTAGAATATCTGGGAACAAAAACTATTCCTAAATAAATACATACTCAGTGTTAGACCAAAGTTGTATAAGCAACTTTACATTTTTACGAAAGGTAATTTACGAAACACAGAGTAACACAAATTAATATTTACTTATTTCAAAAGAAAGTAAGGCATTAGTTACAGAGCCCATGAAAATTAATTTCTAGTTTGCATTCTTTTTTCGTGGCTTACTGTATGTTTCAGTTTACAATACCAAACAGTGTTTCTGGTGTTATTGTTCATAAAATTCAGTTCTGGTCTGCAGCAAAGAATCTAGTTTCCACATGACATGGCTGGCTTAAATGGTCACTTACACTCCAGGGCATGCAGAGTATTTCAAGAACACAGATCAGACCTACAAGCAGTCTCAGTATGACTAACCTGAATAGAAATCACATGAATATATAAAATCAAAGCAGAAACGCATAAAAAAAATTAAGTTACCACTAACAACTATAATACATGGACTGCTGCTGTTCCTTAGTAAGTACCTCATTTCCCCAAAGAACCACTGATTCCAGGTCTTTATCTTACCTATTGCCCTTCACCTCCAACTTATCAAATGACTGAATCAAAGACACTGCTACTTCATACATTTCCCTTACTATCACTGGTTCCTCAATTCTTTGAGGATAAAGCTGTGTGGAAAAGAAAAGTATTGAGGTTAACACAATATAACAGGCTAAAAGACTGTAGATGACATACGTGTGTTGATTGGTCGAGTGCTTTTTGATTAAAACTTATCCAGCACAGAAGCTGTACAAAGAAGTAAGTTAATCTGGAGCATTCATTACCTTCCAAACAGACACTTTCCTTAAAGCATCCTACCATTCTAATGCTAAAGAAATACTGCTGGTATTTACCTACTTACGATAAGCACCAGCACACACTCCATTCCCTTTGCAGGACATGCTCCTTACGCAGAAGAGTTAAGCACGTTACACTAAGTGCAACCCAGGGGAACAGGATGGCCAGGAGGGTAAGTTGCGTAAGGCAGGCACAATCTTTCTTGCAGGTGCTATAATGCAGGTCTCTCCCAGATTGTCAAATAAATCATGTATCTCTTTCTCATTTAAACTGTCTTTACATTTAACAGATCTTGTGATTTTGGTCATACCCTGTCAAAGAACTATGGTTCTGTTTACACAATATAACTGTGATGACTCATATCTACACCGTTTTCTAGTATTCCGTCACAAACTCAGAGCTTTAACTTTTAATAACACAAACTATCAAGTCTTCAGAACAAAGACAATAGCTTACACACATTTCAGTTTTAAAAAGGCTTAATGAACTAGAAATACTCTGGGAATGGTCTATAGTATTACACTTTTTTCTGGCTTTTGATTATTGCTCACCTTTAATTCTCAGGGTTTCTCCTCATTCTAGTGGAAACTCCTTACTGGACTAAACACTATAGCATTTGTAGAACTGTATTCCAGTGTAACCTTCCCTCCACATACTTCACACCATTAGAAATCCTACACTCAAACTGCGATTCTCTCCCTCAGATTATGCCTTTGAAGTTTTTTCACCTCCCCTCCCTCCTTCAACCCTCAAGTCAAATATTTTATTGACTTTCATGCTGAAATCTAAGTTTAAGTTATCCAAGATTTCCCCAAGAAAAACAATAGGTTCAAAGGATCAGCCTCTATATTATTTTTCTGCAGGTTGTGGGTCCATGCTTTAAGTAATCAGCTATTTTCTCACTAGCTATCACATCTCCATTTTTACACTTCTGATCAACCAAGTACTACTTCTAGCCTAAGTGTCACCTTCACCTGCTGCTTGATACACTACAATAGTATTTTAGCATTCAAATACATATTTATTTAGACTTCGACTTCTCATTTTTACTTTTAAGGAATAGTACTGTAATTGAAGTGAGACTGAAAACAGAGCATTTGTGCTTTAAGCGTAATGCTCCATAAGAACTGGACTGCATGATAAAAATAAAAAATGGAGTAGTCAGTAGTAACTGGTAAATACGAGCAGATAAATTCCAACCTAAGATGTAGGGACGTTTAACAAGGACATAATGTAAGGGAAAAGCCTCTCCTGGAAAGAAATTCAAGATGGAAGATGGAAGCTGAATGGCCAAGAGTAATACTTATAGGTTTCTACACACAAAACTAAGATATCCCAGGTTTCCCTGTAAAAGCAGCATAAGTTATTTATCAGCTGTCCACATTTACAGGGCTTTGATTTTAATCAAGCAGAAAGTAAGGATTACACATTTATTCCAAGTCAGTTATCATATAAGCAAAAGAAGATTCTGCAAAAGTTTTTAGTGAGGAAAAAAAAAAAAATTGAAAGACACTGATAAAGCTGGAATGCATCACGTATGTACTGGTAAGTCTCTAATTCATCTAACATGTCATTCAATTGCCTGAAGTGAGATAAAAACCAGTGAGACAATGTAAACCTATGCAACTGAGTTTATAAATCTTGCATACAAGCAGATGGTATATTGACTAACAATAAAGAAACTTCTGGACCAGCTACCTGGGTCATAAGGAAAAAAGGTATCTTCCAATGTAATGCTGCTGAACAAAGGCAAATGTGACCCTGGGATGAATTAGGAAAGGTTACTCTAAGAGTGTGATGTGTTAGTGACTCTGCACAAAACTGCCCCTCGCTTTGAAGCGACTCAAGTCTTGTCAAAGTTTTCAGCGAACGTACTTGTCAGCCCTTGAAGTAAAAGCTCTTGAAGCCAACAAGTACTGTGTGTGATGCTGGCAAAACCGCTGGGGACAATACATCTGCAATTCTTACCAAGTTTTAAGGGGATCAGCCAAAACTTGAAGAGATGCAAATTATGGCTACCTCAATGACCAGAAGAACGAAGAGACTGTCTTAGAAAGGGAGAATATCTAAGACCTACCTTACCTAAGAAAGCAAAATGAAAGCCAGATAGAGGTACTACTGCTACCTATAAAACTATCCAAGAGTAAATAAGAATGTGGGAAGGAAAAAGGTTATTTGAAGCTAAAAAAAAAAACCAAAAACTCTTAGCGCTGCCTCTATGGCTCTAATCTTTCAGTCTCCTAAGGTGTTCCAGGGAGAAAAGGCAGCAGGAAGCACCATTCACTTGCTCCTTCCCCAGTTTCAGCACCGAGACTGCATATCCACAACAACTTCAAGGTTCAGTGCCAAGACTGTTTTAACCTGATCCAAACTTGTTTGCCTGCAACAGCGCACATTTGACCTAGTAAGACGTTTCAGAGAGTTAAAAAACAGAAAAGTGAACTATGAAGCTAGTTACTTTTCTTCCCTTTCTGAAGCAGCTCTCAATGGAATCTCAAAAGGACCACTGCTATCAATTTGGGAATGGTCATTTATACCAGCTTTTGCTACTGCAACCTGTCCTCAGCTTTCCAACCCTTACCAGCTTTAACACCACATCATGTTAACCCTGGGTCGCCTTGGTGTCTGCACAGAGACTCCTTTCTGAAAACCCTGAGAAATTTAACCACTTTTCTCTGGTAGACAATGGATTGGAGGATCAAAAAAAAGCCACCTGTAAGAACAATACTCTTTCCACTTCTCTGACCCCCTTGAATCATCCAGCCAGGCAGACTTTCCAGGTGTATGACTTGGTCAGCCCCAGAGCTTCTTACCTGCATTTTACAACCACTACAGTAGTTTTCCAATGAAGTCTGATTAGTCCATAAGAAACCACAGACAGTGTTCCAGTAGTTTTGGTAAGTAATACTTATTTTTCCAATACACGTGATAAGCTAAGGAATGTGCTGCTTGAGCATACGATTTTTGGGTTCGGATTATCCCTGCTTAAGTAATTGTCAAATTTGTCTTTTCAATTTTGTTACCAACTGTACCTTTAATATTCTTTAGCATGACAAGGCTGCCACATCACTCCTAATAAAAGGTAACGATGTGACAAACAGCCAGTCCAAAAGCCTAGTCAGAGCTGATTGAAATAATACAACACAACGGAAATGGCTTTTGACAGCAGTTCACTACCTTTCATCTGGACTCTGACTTCAATTCTAGGGATATGAAGAAGTTTTTACATTTCAAGCCAAAACTGGGACTCTCTTTTTCGCCTTAGGCAAGAAGTAGAGACATGGGATTTCACAGATCTACTGCCAAAGACTAACATCTAGACACCCAGGTGCTTACAGTTCTTAAATATATTAACTAATGATCCAGTTAAAAATCTAGAACCACGTGCTTCCAAAGGCCATTGTGCCAAAAGAAAAAGAAACCACTTTTTATAAACTTATACTCAAAAGTTAAACAGTCGTTTACACAAAATTAAACTATAAATAAATCAATATCTGTGTGAGGGTAAGGCAGTGCTACGCTGAAGAGTGTTTCACCCTTCCTTCCCTCTTATTTCTATTCTTTCCTACAAATGAAGCAAGTCAAGTGTAAAGCTTTGTCTTTGATTCAGCTAGATGTCTGTCTCACCATACCAAAGGGTTTACTGCAAACAGGCATACAGAAGAAAATCTAATGACTGGCATTTCTATTCATCTTCCAAATCACAACCGATATCCGTGAATTCCCAAATTATCCATCAGAACTGCCCAAAGAAAATTCTTATTTTCAAGCATATTTTTAAAACATTATCACCTATAGAAATAAGTGACTTCCATGCCAAGAGCTCTACAGGAAAGAATTCTACATTTATACAGTTAACGCTCAATTATTTTAAGATTCTCTGAGAAGGGACAAAGATTCATACCTTGCAGCAAATGAGACAATTACAAAGGACTAAACTGACTGCAGTCAGGATGCTTTAAGGAATGAGTTATGATTTATGTAATCTAATTTTATAGTTACTAATTTTGAAATCAAAAGAAAACTTGGAAAATTTGTTTGTCAAAAAAGACTGGTTTTTTTTAACTTCTGTCAATTTTTTTTCTGTCAGTTTTACAGGCTTTAATAGTCAAAAATAAAGTATTAAGAACTAAAGCCTGAAGCCTGTACTCAAGCAGCTGATTTTGATCTTAGCATGATGAAAGATGTGCCCCTGCTTCCATATGGCAGTGTTAACTCATCAGCTGCCTTAACACTCAGGCTTTGCTTTCATTTTTATTAGGATGTTACATAAATCTTTAGACCTTCCATGTTTTTAAGGACTTTTTGAATAAAACTACTATTCAGAGAAAATCTCCACTAACAGCTCCCTAAGAAACAAGATGCAAGACCAAACATCAGTGCATTCTAACTCAATTTCTCTTTTTCCCCCCCACATACATATAAACAAACAAACAAAAAAAAGAGACAGATAAAGAAAATCAGGAGCACTTATGTGCTTCTATTGCTGCCCTAAGGTAAAAATAACTTCTTGGACAATCATATTCTTCTCATAGTAAACAACTGAACAGTTATAGCTAGGATTACACAACAAAGAAACAGATGAAAAGTTAAAAAAAAAAAATCAAAGCCAAGTGCTCATATACACAGAGAAAATAAAAAATACAAAAATGCATCAGCACTGAAAGCAGTTCCTTTTCTTCGTGATCTCTGAGGTGAAAGGTGTGGCAGCTGACATTCAGCTCAAAGTGCAGCTATGACAAATGCAACTTGACTGAAATAAACTTCTTACTGAGTTTCTTGGTTATCGTTTTGTTGTCATCTAGCATCAAAATTCTCTTACAAAAATCATGTATTACATAATCTCCTGCATATTATGTATCTGAGCTGCCATACTAACATATAAAAGTTGATGGGCCAACTGCTATGTGCAGTCATTTTTTTGGCTGCACTAAAACTTCCAACAGTTGACAGCCTTTTATTTTTAGCTTGCCTGTGTTCAGGCATAACCAATGCCTGTGTTGTGTACAGCATTAGCAACTATTTCCTTCCAGATTTCCCATGAACTACACTTTTGTTTTATTTCTCTAATTTAGCTTTTGTAGAATGGAGGGTATTCTGTAGAACTGAGGGAATAACATTATGTTCACATACTGCTACTTTTAAAGTGCGTCCTCTGGTTTCTTCATTTTATTAGCATTATAACAGTGTTCTGAATTATCAAAACTGACCAATAATTACTCCCATTCCCCAGTTATTTTTAGAGTTGTTGTCACTATTATAAGCCTGAGTGCATTTGTTCTACTTTGGTTTAACCTGTTTATTTTACCTTGGACCATAATACTGAAAGAGTTCAGGCACTCAAGTAAATTCCTACACAGCTGTTTTTAACCTGTAAAATAAACTCCTTTTATAAAACCCCAGATACCACATGAATTCAAACTTAGATTTATTCCTTCCTTACCTATTGTCTGTGTAGATACCTACTATACCACAGGACATCAGGAGCTCTAGCTTATAAACCGCACAGCGTATTTGTAAAGGTTGACACAGCAAATGAATCTTCAGCCACTTACTATCCTCCTTAGGCACTAGAGCAGCCATTCTCCAGTGCAGCCATACAGGCTGTTAAGAGGCCACTAGGGATATGGTGAATATCTATTATTCTAACATATTTTCGTTACTCAAAATCATTTTTACCATGGTGGCCCTGCAACAGAAATAGGTTCAAAACTACTGCAAGACAGCTCTGAGACTATTAAAAAAAAGAAAGGAAAAAATGGGAAGCATGTAAGCCTCTGCTGATAGAGAAGCCAACTTGATAACATCAAACTTCTGATCATAAATGATTCTTTTCTGATGACTCCCTCCATTTCCTAGCTCTTCCTGCCTTTGATACACAACAGCAACATGGACCAACCAAGGAAGTGTTCCCTGAGTTTGTCAGTTGTATTCAAAGAGATCCATAAACACTCATATGTTACATTCCACTCACATTTTCACATTGTTCATCCTGGATGCAAACTACAGAATAAAACGCCACATACTACTTAAAATTCCCAGCCTTTTTCATTTCATTTCTGTTACATGAAAGAAAAACTAGGCTGCTGGTAAGGAGACTCCTGTTTTATCATTGTATGTTAAGTCTTGTCTAGAACTGTAATGTAAAATTGGTTATTTGTAATTTTATCACACAGCTTTCAACTGACTACTCCAATTTCTTTCTTACTATATCTAACGAAATAAAGTTATAGTTACAATACCGTGAAAGGAACAGTGTGCTTCAAGTCATCAAGATAATATTCTTCGACTGCATAAGGTTTACCTTGCACCTTAAATACACAGGCTGGATTCAGACCATTATGATCTGTAAGTGCAAAGTAATCAGCAAATTCTTTACAGTTGATTGAAGCAGACATCAATATTACCTGTTAAAAAAATCCACAGCAAATGTAAACATTAATTTTAACACAAAATGCCATGCTACGCTGGAATCTCCACTTTTTCTTTATGCTAAAATGGTCTAATTTTGGTGACTGCAGGTACGTATCATAGGCACATTTAAGACAATCAAAGCTAAATGCTTAAGATTCTCTAGGCAGCATGTGGAGAAAAGTGAGCACCTGTAAGGGAACAGATCAGGCCAGAAGCCTAGGGTACACAATGTAAAAAACTTTTTTCCTGTGGTAAAAGTTCAACTTAACAACATATAGTGCTCTTCTTTAAGCTTATGTTTTCTACATGTTCCTGAAAAGAAAAAAAATGTACACTAAGTATTTTCAACTCCTGCTTTACTAAACAGATTAGGTATTGGTGCCTTTAACTCCATCAAAAGATGGGCTTACTTCTGTAAGAGCAGTAACTAATTATAACCCAGCCTTTAAAGTGTTACTAAGCTCCTCCCTTTGTTTGCTGACTCTGCCAAGATTCTTAATCCATATTAACCTAAGCAGAAGAGCAGAAATCATATTTGCTACCTGGTGAAACCTTTTCTTTCAATTATTATGAAATTCAGAATTTACAGCTTTGTTGTTTTCTCCCTGGTTAGACAGTACAATATGTGCAGAATGGGGGGAGGGAGAAGAATTAAGTAAATTAGTGGCTATGGCTATTTACCCTCTAACACCTCTATTTGGCATGTGCTCCCACTGCTCAGCACAGCCAGCTGAAATAAACTTAGTGCCAACCTGAAAATGGGACAAAGAGCCAAGGAGTTACAATGAACTGTGTAGTGTTCAGCTTCTTTATCTTCAGGTCTCCTGAGCCATTCCAAGCAGTACTTGTAAACTGGGACACAGTCAGTACCTGACACCTTGCATGAATTCAAAAATGGAATCAAGACATCAACAAACCACCCTCACCACACCCACATCCCCCCAACCCCCCAAGTAAGACCGACCGACCGACCAGAGCATCCCCTTTATGAAGTTACAGGCAGACAAGATGATGCAGTGAGCATTGTACCACTGTGCTCAGCTCCAAAGCATATGTGAAGGCACAAGGAATATGTCCAGAGGGCAGACTAAATCGTGAAGTCATTTAACATGATTCTGGAAGGAGGAGAAATCTGAAAGGATGTAATTCTGCAAATACTGTATGAAACCTATCCCACTACAGCATGAACTGCCTCACTGCTCAATAAAGTGGCTCACCTATACTATGAAAATAGGCTAAATGTAACTGTAACCTGGGGGCTATTGCAACAAAATCCAATCTAAATTATCCTAATTGCAGTTATGGGCAAGGAATATAAATTACCTCTTCTAGATAATCTTTATAATTTACACTGTGTAATCTGCATGGAGTCCTTCCAAATTAGAAGGAAAACCACAGGTTCCTAACAGAGTGCCTGAAGGATCACCTTACGAAACTGTTTTGACACACTCCCAAAGCACAAATTCAACAAGCACGTATCACCAACAGGACAGCTGCACTGTTTGGTCTGACCCATTCTTACAGTTGTAGGCTTTCTTGCCACAACCCCATCCCAGCAAGACCGGTCTTAAACCAGTCAATCAAATATCTGCTCTTGATCTAAAAGAATAACCTGCACCAGCAATCTGCCAGAAAACTCAGGAGAGTTGGTAGGTGAACCGCAACAGGTAGAACTTGTCCTCCCTATGTCAGAACCAGTCTTGCCACCCTGTTGGTTGATGCAATGTTGAATTACCTCTACATCTCTGGTCTGCAATGTCCAGACTAGGAGACAAGTATCTCATGTATTTCCTATCAACCTGAATTATTATTACATTTTCTCCCCCTCCTTGCACCCTTCAGTTGCATGAATCCAGGGGGAGCTGGGAGGAGAATCTCGAATTTCCTAAATTAATTTGCCACAAGAATGCTCCCTTCCTTTACAGTTTTTCAAACGGGGCTGCAAAAGGATGAAGAGGGAGACACTAGGTTTAGTGTATAAATTCAGACTGAATTACTTATTCCTATTTGCTAAAACCCAGCAACTGAGATCAAGAGTTTCCTCTCCCCATCATAAAAAATTCAATGGGACACACACATATACCCACAAATTTAAGATCATCTCAGGTTCATACAATATGAAATTGTCATCTAAAGAAACAACTGCAGAGAAGAATATACAGGAGAAGGAAGATTTCCAGTGACAATTTTGAGAGATTTAATCAGAATTATAGAGGAAAAAACTTTCAGGAACCTATAAAAGAAAAATGTTTTCTAACAGAAATGATGATAGGACCTGTAGGGATTCCTGCTACTGACAACCACCATATCACCATCAAGGGCAAACTCTTCACAAACTGAGTATGATCAAATTATTTGGTATTCTCAGTAGGCAAAGCCATGTGCTAAGAAATGCTGAATAGCTTCACATTAATGTGTCTGAATTTGCAGATAAGTTAGTTTTCTTATCAGCAAGAAAACGGTTAAGTATAAAAGGTGCGAAGTGCACAGACATGCCCTATGCCAACTGAAGGGCACGTTCAGTGAGTGACAGCAGGCTGGAAGCTGTGGATGCCCCATCCCTGGCTGTCTTCAAGGCCAGGCTGGATGAGGCTTTGAGCAACCTGGTCTAGTGGAAGGTGTCCCTGCCCATGGCAGAGGGGTTGGAACTGGATGATCTTTAAGGTCCCTCCCAACCCAAACCATTCTGTGATTCTATGTTCTAAAGACCAAGTTATCTGACTGAATCAAAGCGGTGCATTGTACAGAAGGAAACAGATTCCCTGCCAATAGCAACAAAAATAGCTAATGTAGATTCAGGTTACACCATTTTGAGCAGAGCAGTTTGTATTAACTGAACAATTAACTGAAGTGCTTCAGGGATACCCATAGTCTTACAAAATTTCTGCAGTCCCAAATAGCTGCACAGAAATATACCTAGCTAGTCTAGCTCCATGACCTGTATTTAATTACTAGCAATTTCTGAGACCATTACTTTGAGACCACAAAGACTAAATGTGTCATGCTAAAACTCTGCAAACTTGGCTTTAGTACAAAGCACAATCATCTAACATGCACAGAAAAATCTCAGCCACGTTTTACTACTAGTTCTGCCTAGAAATTACCATACAACATTTCTGTCTTTTGCTATTTTTACAAATATGTTGTCCCATTTAAAAAAAAGCTCAGTATTTCCAAGAGTTAATTCTACCATCTTTAACCAAGGATAAGCACTGCCCTCAATACCCAGCACGTAATTCTAGTCAAATATCCATCTTGCATTTTTTAGCCTTAAGCAGACTTTAGAAACTAATGCATTCTAACATGAGGAAAAAAAAACCCCAGTCTCTCAGAACACATTATAGCAGCCAGGAAAAGAATGCCCTTCAGCTTGCTAGCCTAGGAAGAGCGGCAACCTAAATAATATTTTAGTAAAAAACAATGACACGTTTTAAGGTTGGTTCTTTAAAGCACGCCCTTTTTAGATCAAAAACACGTAAAAATTTATTCTTACAAGGAAAAATAGCAAAATACACTTTGAACCTACCTTTACAGACTGTGAATTTGTACACAACAGTTTACGGATCACCAGGAGCAAGAAATCCATCTCTTCTGTATGCTCATGCACCTGGAAGACATTATCCACAATTTAATTTTCATTAATTCATGCTATTCTTTTTGACAATTTCTTCCTTTGCAACTCAGCTTTATGCTTTATTTTTGGAACAACAATACCTTTCCATAGAAAAAAGCAGACCTTTTAAGACTATGCCTGTTAATCACATTTTAAAATCTCAGCACAGGCTTCCACACAACTACAGCACCCTTTGTGAAAATCATATGGCACTACTGAGTCATGAAAACTGGAGAATGACTAGCAAACCAATTGGGAACTCTAGGCACTAGTTCTACTAGAGCTGACAATAACAGCTGAAGTGATACTGAAGTCAATTGTACTGGTAAGACCACAAATGATCCAGGTAGGAACTAAGTCAGCTTGTCTAACAGTTAAACAAGTTGAATCGACTTCCTGTGTTCCCAACGGCTTCTAGCTATGATCAAAATACACCACTGCTTTCTAAAACATTTTCTGCCACCGAATTCTTTATATACCCTATATACACCTGACTTTTCTGGTTGCTCCTTGCAGTTACTTATCAACATTATCAGTGATGATCATATCCCTTTCTTGAATTATCAGAGTTTAAATATATTAAGTGCAGGAGCATCTTCCAGAGATTAACCTTCAACGGTCAACATTCACCCCCACAAGGTAATTAGCATATTCTACTGTAATATATATTTATATGCAGTATTGCCCCATTACAAAAAGATGTAGCTAACGCAGTTTTTAGGCTGACAGAGAGATCTTGCTATGAGAGGCCATGGCTTTTTTTCTGACTTAGGTTTGCTTAGGTATATTCCTAAATGCCTGCAGTATTCTTAACAGGCCTGAGTCGTGCAATTAAGAATGATGTGGAGAGTATCTGGTTGCTAAAATCATAGAATGGTTTAGGTTGGAAAGGACCTTCCAAAGTCATCTAGTCAAAGCCTCCTGGATTGAGCAGGGACATCTTCAAAAAGTGTGTACTAGTGGGTCAAGACCACAATCTGTGAGGTAAATGTGGGTTGAAAGAGTGGCATATGGGGAAGGGGAGGGACTGGAATTTTGGCTGGGGAAGCAAAAAACACATATAGTCTTGAAAGCTAGGAGCTGCTGAAAGAAGTGGTACAAGCTGATATCATCAGTTCAGATTACAGCACCCAAGCAAACAAAGTTTGTCAAACTTCTGCATAAATCTGTTCTGCATAAGGGGACACAAAACTTTACTCACCAATTTTTGTACCTAATAAAGGCACAGTCTATAACTTCTCCATGTAAGCAGTTTCTGTTGTTAAATTTCTGCTTAAGCTTAAAAATGTTAACATTTGCAAGCCCCACTAATATATGAGACTAGTCTCAAATCTTTCTCATGAAGACAACTGGTACAATTGTTTAGGATTTGGGGTTTTTTTTGGTTATTTTTATCTGTGTGAATGAAAGACCTAGAGTTTCTTCATAAAAGTGTTAAATATTTGCTTCATCTTTTCCAGTGTGCCATCTCAAGTGCCATCATGACTGCCTTCATTATTACTATAATGGTCTGACAATGTACCAAATACTGTCTCCTTGCTCCTCAAATATCCAAGAATCAAAGTCAATCTCAGCTAAAATACCGTAACAAGTAAAAATGAAAACCAGCATTAAAAAGTCGTCTTCTGTGCCATTACATCCCAAGGTTTAGTCCTACACCTTACATGTGATCTACATTTATGGTTTCTAAAGCACAGTTTCGCATCTGACTATATTTAAGAGTCTCATACTTTTTACCTCAGAAAATAAGCATAAAACCACAAAAACATAAAAATTACAAAAAACCCCACAAGAATATTTTCTTTAGCTTTTTAGTGAAGTGACAGAAATAATGATGAATCCACGTGAGTAGACTGTAAATCTGGCCAGAAGACAGAATTTTCAGAGGGCTATTTTATTTTCCAGGACATCCATGAAGAGTGAGGACACTTTCTAAGGGCAGTAACAGCCAAGAGAGTAAAAACTAGCTGCCTCCTCCTCATAGGCCTAACCAGAAACATTCTTGGAATCCAGGCAGTGGATTTCAGAAAACATTTCAAGGCGTTCATATCAAAAGCTAAGCACTCCCAAACATCCCCGCCCACACACCCAGTTCTAAGGAACACCAAGACAAGCCTATTGAAAGAAGTGCTAGCTGGGACAACTTCTATAAAGCATCTTTACAAGTAGATGTCTGCATTTTTCTTTCTCTATCATGCTAATAGAGACAAAAAAGAAGGATTTCTTAATATGAAGTATTCAATTTATTTCCACCAACTTACTTCATCAATGAAAATGTGTGTGAATTCATATAAGCTTTTGGCACAAACTATTTTCTGAAGAAGAACTCCAGTTGTCATGTACAGCAACCTTGTATCCTTCGTGGAAACGTTCTCTAAACTTACCTAAGACAACAAGAAAAATAAAGATGTGAACAGATAGTTAATGTATTTACAGGAATTATGCACCTCAAAAGAACTCCAAAATGAAACACAGAGTAAGCCCATGAGAATTATTCATTCCAACTTGTAAAAGCCTCTGTACAAACCTGTTTTTAAAGCCCAGAATACGTTAAGCCAGGAAGCAAAGATTCTCTTCGTAAGAAAATAAAAAAAGCCCACAAGTTTATAAAATAAAGGATCAAAATTTCTTGCTGGGAGCTATAGCCTGAGAAGAATTCTTTGCCCATTTTTAAAGGTACATGCATGGATCTTTGCGCTAAGAAAAGAAAAAGATTTTGACAAAACAATTTGCTTACTGGACAGGAGAAAAGGAAAGAGGTGTAAGATATCATCAAGACTGATCAATTTACTCTTGAGAGGAAATTTCTACAACCCTATGTTAAACAATGGATTTATGATTTCTAAAACACTACTGTAACTACCCAGGCAGGTAGGCACAGCTGTGACCATCTTTTCACCTTCCACTTTTAAAACAGCCTGGAGCAGGCTAAGGCAGGAGCTGTGGCCCCATGGAGAGAGGAGCCCAGGCTGGAGCAAGTTTGCTGGCAGGTCTTGTGACCCAGGCTGGAGCAGGCTGCTCCTGAAAGACTGCACCCTGTGGGAGGGACCCCACGCTGGAGCAGGGCAGTATGAGGAGTCCTCCCTCTGAGCAGCAGAGACACCCATGATGAACTGATCACAACCTCCATTCCCGTCCCTCTGCACCGCTCAGGGGGAGGAGGCTGAGAAAAGCAGGAGTGAATTTGAGCCCGGGAAGAAGTGAGGGGTGAGGGGAAGGTGCCTAACATACATAAATGGCACATATGTAGCATGGATGTAACCTGGAGCTGTAGACAAATAAAAACCCAAGAAATACGTAAACACATGTTAGCAAACATTTATATATGACCTTAAGAAAGAACAGAAACAAGAAAAAGAATGGAGAGGGAGAAGATACCAACATGTATTCCTCCCAGCAAAGGACTCCAGATGCAGACAAGTCTCCATAAACATCCTCTCACCGGCACCGCCAGCGTGAACCTACCAGCCTTAGGAGCCAGAGAAGCTAGTCCAGAGGCTGCTACTGTCAAACTACCAGTGAAACAATGACCACAGCAGTTTATTGTGTTTGCTGACAAACAACTGATTAAAACACCAGTATCTGTGTCAAAAGACAAAAGTCACATCAAGTTTACAAATGGAGAGATAGAACCGAGTTTGAAGCAGAGTTTGACAAAACGAAAGCAGAAGGTAGATTCAAGGGGAAAAACTAGTTCAAGTTTGTCACATGTTAAGAAGAAAGGACAGGACACTCAAAAAACAGTCTGGACACAGATTCATTAAGGTTTTGACATAGCTGACTGATAAATGTAGTAAAGTCAAACAAATCAAGTATGTTAATTAAAGAGTTTAAGGGAAAAAGTGACAGAATATATTTTGCAACGATTTCAATGATTAATAATATAGATGTGTCCAATTATAAGAATGCAGATAATTAAATATTTCTGTTAGAGTCTCACCAGCATTTACCACAATACACAATAACCCACACTTTGATACAAGGACCACTATGTATCTACCTCTTGGCGTTTAAAACAAGTCTGGTAAGTACCATGATGGTCTTTCCGTGTGATACTACATTCTGTGGTCTCTTGGCAGGAGCCGTCACCATTAGCGCTGGGCAACACAGGACAAAAATCTTACAACGCTACCATGTATTTCTGTTCAGCAGCCTGCTCTGTTTGACCATGAAAAGCAAAAGAGCAACTGAACAGGTGTGGAGGCAGGTGGAGAAGGGGAAAACCAGGACAAGACATAGGTAAGTGACAATTTTGCAAATTACAGTTAAAGAACTTGGCTAAAAAACTCATTGTACTGGAATCAAAACTGGAAATGCTTTTGATTTCAAATGGGTTTCACCAGGTACTATGGTGAAATTTACTTACTTATTCACATACAAATACTGAAAACATTAAGAAACAGCAGTGGCAGTGGGAAAGAAATCTAGATTGTGGTTTGTTTTTTTTGTTTGTTTTTTTTTTTTTTTAACAAAGGAAATATTTACTATAAAACAAAGGCTGTAAGCTGACTAACTGAGAACACCATTACAGATTCCTTTCTCCAGAAGGGTTACTAACAACCTCACGCAGCCGCGCAGCAGAAGCAGACAGAGCTCTGTACCACACCTGAACGTGCTGCAAACCCTAAGGTCTCTTCAAGTGCAGGAGACACATTAAAACCAACCCCTAAAAGCTGGACAGTTCATTCAGACACTTTAATAAAGCACTAAAAAAACAGAGTTCTGAGGCCATACTCTCCAACAAGAAAGGTTCTTCACCTGTAACTGCTGCATTACACAGAATCTATGTATTCACTACAGTGATTGACTTAGCACCACTAGACTCATACGAAACAGAACTTAGTATCAGCATCCCTGGAAAATATTAACTGTCCCCTTTAAAATACTTTTGGTGAAGTTTCTAAATATATTCCCCAGGAAAATTCACATATAGCATTCTGTCACAGCAACACTGTACAAGGCTTGACTGGCTTCCCTCTAGCACAAACATGTCACTACTGAGACATCAGGAGCTCTGCAAAATTTGACCAATGCTGGAAGAAATCTCAAGCTGCTAGGGAAAAGATCCCAGCGTCAGCATATTCCTGCTAAAGCAACATAGCCTTCCCACCTCCATCAGGTTTGCCATGTAACAACTGCAGTTTTGAGGAAGGTGTTAAAAGTATACAACAGAAGACAGCAGCAGTTCTGTAGTAGTGCTTATGAAAAAGGGAGGGACAAAAAAATTTAAGTGGCAGGATTCACATTATGAGCTTCTCTAACTCTCTAAAAACCCAGTGTATTAATAAATCATTAACCTAAAATCCAATGATGATTTTTATTAAAAAATACAAAGGAACAAACCAGAAACAAATAAACAATCACCACTATTCATGCTAATCAGAACAATTTAATCAGTTTTCATACCTCATTGTTTTCACTGATGAAACATAACATTTTTTTTATTACTTTTTATATGACAGTTGTATGACAGCAATCTCTTACCTTCTCCTAAGCACAGACGTTTGGGAAAAAAACCCCAGTGTTAGCCACCATCCATACGCAGAGTTTGAGAACTGGCAGCCATATAAGCATTTACCACATGCTGCAAGTACTAAAAACTGTACCTTTTGGTTTTTTCTCTTCAAGATGTGTACTCTGTGCCTAAACTGAAAAGACATTACTGGCTTTGCCTGGGGAACGAATACCATGACAACTGAGACTTCTGTCCAAGTCAGTACAGTCTTGGGCCTCAGAGTAAGCTGGCAACTTCAGATGGACACTGATGCGACCCAAGCAGCCACCAAAAGGCCCGCTCTAATAAAGAGGATTTTCTGAGATCCAATATGATCATTAGTGATAAAACAAAACTGGGACTGGGAACCTAGGTAACCACCTTAGAAGACTGAGAGGTGTCGTTCTGAACAACAATGAGGACGTGCTGCAGAACAGAAACACTTAATACACGCCCCTATGAAAGTTCAAGATTATCCTACTCATTTAAATAACCATTCAGCTGTGGACTCTATACCACACAGTGAAATCACCTTCGACTGCTATTCTTTGCTTTTAGGGGTTTCTGGGGTGGTTTTGGGGTGTGGGTGGTGTGGGTTTTTTTTTGTTTGTTTGGCGTTTTTTTGGTGTTTGGGTTTTTTTTGGTGATGGTGTTTTGCCTTTTTTTTAAACACTTAATTTACTGAACAAATCCCAAAATGAGAACTGGTCTTCAGAAAAACAGATCACTTTTCCAAATAGATAGGCATCTACATATTAAAGAAACTACAGGACCACGGACATCAGCAAGAAAGGCATAAGGTTTCACTTTTTCAATTGTTTATACTTTCTGGAAAACATTATTAAGACTGGGACAGCAAACCCAACCCCTGCACACCTCCGTAAGACACCATACTCAAACACACACCTTGGAGTCTGACATACAGAGAGTGCAGGACACTTTCAACCTGAAAAGGGTAAACTGAGGGAGCATGCAACTGCCCAGCACAGCATTTTATGACAACAAACATATTTCCGTGTGTAACTAGTATTAATGTTAATCCACAGTAAATTATGATGTTCATTTCCCTATTCAGCATCAGTGCAAAAGCAGACTACAAGCTCAATTATGGGAAAGATGAATTTGCCTGCTCATTTCCTTTTCAATTATTATCAAAGGTCTGTAGATACGTGTTGCCTGCCATGACTAAAACAGTCTACTGCCCATGGAAAGAGCAATTTCCAACAGCCCCGTTATTGCAGCCCACACAGCAGATGTATCCCTTCTGGTACCTGTTTCCCGAATTGAATTTGAAGTGATGCTTTAACACAACATTAGATTTTTGTATTCACAATAGAGATTGTACAGCGGGATCTTGGTGTCTGCCATTATTCAAATTAAAACGAGATACATAAAAAATACATACTTTAAAATACTGGTTAGGTGAGTCACGAGACTTACTGTGTCATTCTTCCACTGAGTGACAAAACACACAAAAGGGTTACTGTTAGCAAGCAAGCTCATGGGAAAGGAAGGCCACAGCAAACAACGAGCCTCCTACATCGACCTACGAGGCATAAGGACTTCACAGTAAGACATGCTACTTCAGTCATGACACAAAGTACATAAAGTTGCTGCCAAATGAGCCCTGAAGAGCTTGATCCAGAGCCTGGGCAAAGCAATTATCCTTCCTGACCGGAAAAAAGGCTAACAGTTTTCTGTGTCTCAAAGTCTTGACTACTGAAGGATGCTACCAGGTAACATTAAAATTCCTAAGAAAACACCACAAGTGTCTTTGCCTTTTGTTCCCCACTGCAATCCTTTCAACTTGAACATGTTTTGAATACAAAAGGATTTGGGATGAAGATTTGCACTATGATTCATTTTCCTGGCATGCATCTGTTCTGAATTCAAAACATTTAAGGAACTCTGTAACTTAAGTGTTTGGTATTTCAGAAACCTGATCAGAAATTATGTTTAAATTGTTCCTTCTCTGTAAGCAATTACTTAACCTGGGACCTAAAAGATCCCCAGAAAAGATCCATTTAATGGTGTGAAGAAAGAAAAGGAAAAAAACCTGCCATTCACAAAGCTGGATGAAAATAATGATATAGGTGTCCTTTAAAAAAGATAAGAAAAAAAAATTCATTAAGAATTCTAGGTGCTTTCTTAAGAGTAAAACTTAATGCACACAGTTTAGAATACCCAGATTTGAAAGGAAAAAATAAAATTAAAAAACCCATCTGTTTTCCATAGGATGCTTAAAGTAGGCAGGTGTCCCATACTCACAGCTCTGGAGGGTTTTCCTCTGCACAAACACTGTGACACCTCAGTGAATCCAAGGTGTGTGTGTAAGTGACACTGAAACAGCCAGTACCAACTGTGAATCTAGCCCAAAGAGCCAGGAAAGAACTGCTCATGGTCTCTTCTTTGGCTAAGAACTGTGACAAAGTATTTTCATCTGCTTTTATTTAATTACTTCAACTCCCTTTTTACAGCAGTATCATTTCTACCATGTTCTGTAGAAGCCAGAACTCTAAGTGGAGTTCCCTGATAATCTCAGTTTCCCTGAAGAGAAGCAGATTAGGCATTTATATTTGCACTCAGTATAAAAGCATATGCTCTTTCAAAGAAACTAGAAAGCACAAAATTTAAACACAACAGAACTTCATTAAATACCAAGGCATAAGCAAACACAACAGCTTCAGCAAGTCTGAAACTTTTGGGGCCACTGAGGTTCTTATTTCCATGTTGCGCTGCTTATTTCTTGACTACATTTGTACTCAAGATAGCAAGAGTGGTAGGGCCTTGATCTTTTATAACAATTTTTCATGTTCTTAAATAGAATATGCACTTTCAGACTGATATAGCTGATAGTTGCACATAGCTCTTAAAGCTCTTGAAATCCGCATGATTAACGTCTTATCACTTGAGAACAGCACTCATTAACAACACACACATTTATAATCCATAAAATTAACATTACAAATCTCATGCTCACTCACTGAGCTTCTTCGTTGTACCATCCAAACATAATATTCCTGAATCTGTAAGTCAAAGTTGACAGCAATAAGAACCAGGATTTTCTGAACTTTGTGTAATTCTACACCTAGGTGGGACTTGGCAGCTCTGTCTCAGAACGCGGCACTGCAGGAATTTTCCAGTCCCGTCACTATCCAGTCTGCTTAGAGTCCCCAGTGGCTCACATACAGCTGGGAGCAGAGCGCTGACTAGAGAAGGCAGGCATCAACGCCGCATGGAACAGCTCCGCCAGCAACCCAGGCTCCAGACCATGACACAGACAAAGAGTAGGAAGGGAGGGGGAAAAAGGGACAGAGGAAAACATCTAATAGATTAATAAGAAGAGAGGATGCATGTGCTAACATTTTAGTAATTTTTTAAGGTTTTTTGCTAACTAGATGCTGTGTAAGTAAATCACAACTGAAAGGCAAGAATAAATACTAGAAGGTATAGATTTCAAGGACAAACATTTTAGGATACACCAAGAGAAAATGTATTTATAAAAATAAAGTACCAAGCTGACTATGCAGAAATATTTCCTAACAAGCCTAAGTTATAACCCTTTTTCTTTTACAGAAAGAACACTGCTAGGATCAGT